CCATTAAATAACCACCATATTCCAGTATACTTCACATGACTTTCGTATGCCTGCTCACCTGCTCATAGTCTGAAAGTATAATAAGACTTGAAATTTCAAGCTTTAGTTTCCAGCTCAGTGACTTCCTGTGATTCTCCCTTTAAGCCATCAAACTATTGAGGGAGGTAACGCAACCACCCTGGAGGCTATTTTCAGGTTCCTACGTGTCCACTGATTTCAGCATTTTCTCTGGAAATATAAGGCATCCTTTCCTTAGCTCGATATACCCATTTCTACCTAAATGTACTCTGATATCTTTTCATATCAGAAGTTAAATATTCAGATTCTGCCTGATCTCTAGTGTATGTTTCATGGCCCCTAAAAAGATAATTAACTTGACATTTTTACTAATCTTGCTAACAAAAGGATATCAACCTACAAACTACTCATTGTTTCCAATATACTGTATCTCTTGTTCACTGGTGCCATAACTAATCAATTCTTAGAGTAAAAATTGGTCTTTAATTATTTCATAGTTCTAATCTTGAGCTAGTTTTAATTTTTATTATAGTGGCTTATTACAGTAGTTTATAGTGACTGTATTCAAAGAGCAATATTTTTTTGTTCAGGTTTTCTGCTAAAAGTACACAAACGTATTAAAAATATTTCCTGTGTCTAGGTAAAGCTATTTGAGTCCAGTTTTCACCTTTAATATGCACTGTCATGTGCTCTCAGCAAACGGTAAGATTAGATTTAGGTTGATGGTTTCACGAGGAATATGAGAACCACGGTGCTTTTAGTGGTTATGTTTGTGAAAATGTAATAGGTTGTGTAGTTTTAGCATTATCATATTAGTAAGGGTTTATCATTAGAGACAATATTTATGGTAACATTTGCTAATTTAATTAATTGCTACTGATGTTCTCATAATTTCATTTTCATTGTACTTCTGTGGAATCATAAACAAAAGGTTAAGTGGTGCATCAGGTTAATTTACTGGTCTTTGATGTTTCCATCTGTGATCCTGTATTAACAGGAAGCATAAATAAAATGGTTCTCATATGGTAACTGTCCGGAGGCATTCCTTTATTCTAGAGTGAACTGCATTTTTCGTTTAATTTTTGTGCTTCTCGAATCCACTTAAACCACAGAGCATTACACTGACATGGATCTTTGAGTTTCTGTTTATGAAAACAAATTAGGTCAGCTCAGAGGAGGAAATTGCCATTCTAAGAAGTGATCAGACAACAGCATAATAGAAAATAAAGGATAAACTATTATATTTAATAGTAATAAAGAAAGATTTTATAAGATTTCTCCTTTGCAACTGCCGGCAGACTAGACTCTACAAAATAGTTCTATATTAGAGATAAAATTCCTTCATAGTAATATTGTAATAACCATTTCCCCAAATAGCCCATGGGGAACTTGAAAATATATTGTTTGCTACTATATTTACTTTTTTTCTGAATTACTTGTTGCACATCTTTGCAGAGTAGCAGATTAAGAATGCCAATGGAAAGCATTATACATTTAAGGTCAGATGTTCTGCCTTGCTCTTTTTTTTTTCCTGATCCTCAAAGAATGTACAGGCTAGGATGATACAAAGGAGCAGTCTACACTCCAAACAATGAGATAATTTAAAAACAAAATGCACACAGAACACGTATGTGGAATGGGGTTCTCAGAATCAGTGTGACACACCTGGGCTTAGCAGTCTAAGACATCAACGTTTAAACTAATTTAAATGTATTGTTCCCTGGTTTTTCCTGCAATTGTAATTTCCAGATATTTAAAGATGTGAGCGCTTTTATATATTGGCTGGTTAAACTTTAATCTTATTCCATTTTAATGAATATCTCAAAATACAATCTCCTCAGCCTGACTGTTTTCCAGACCTAACCTTTGAGTCAGAAGAAAGCCAATTTGTAAATAAATGGGTGCCTCATTGCTGCCTGCTGAGGGGGCTGTTCCTAAACCATTTTGTAAGTGTGACACAATAGTTCTATATTGGTACAGTGAGTCATACCTTTGTTAGCCATTTACCTGTAACTATCCCACTGCTCTGTGACTAATTTTTAGTTATCTTAATATTATTTTCGTGCATAATAACTATAATAAACAACCCTATCAGTGCCTCCTGGTGGCCACTTTTCCTCTTTTTTCCCCCGAGGGTCCCTTAAACTACTTACTTCTAAATTTCTTTAGAAGGCAGTGGTGGTAGGAAGGAGAAGGGACAGGGGTTTTTTTTGTCCTTTCTATCTCTCATACATTCAAAATATTTGTCTTTCACTTTTAAAATAATTCTGACACTGAATTAGGTCTTTGCAAGAAATCCAGCTTTAATACTGCTTAATACTATAGAAACCCGGATTATAGCTAAAAAGGTGTGCATTCAAAGGGCGAGTGACCTGAAGGCTGACAGCCCCTGTTAAATTAAACCTGGCAATGGCAGGGTGGAGAGCTATGCCTGTGCCAGCCAGTAAGCAAAGTTACAGCCCAAGAACTCAGCCCAGACTACAGGCTTCAGGCTACAAGGCCTCTGCCCCCTTGTAGCAGATTCGCGGAGTGTGCAGCAGGTCAAATTACACTTTTAGGCAGTTGCAAATATGATTTTCCTCTTCTAAGAGATCACACACCTTGGTTTTGCAATGACCGCGAATTTCTCAAGCAAACAGGAAAGGGTCCCCTGCATAAAACTGTAGCCCTGTGGCACCTGGGGAAGCGCTGACTAGCTAGAGGGGGCAAACCCTCCTGGCCCGGGGCTGATCTGAGGCTATTTCATAGTCAAGGCCAAGGCCACTGCCGGGTGTGAGAGGAAAAGCTGGCGCTCTCACGCAGGCGCTCTGGGGCTCCCTGGCCGTGAGGCCCATACCTACAGGGCTGGACACTGCGTCTTGCCCTCCTTGCCACCTGCTTGTGCGTCCTAGGACCTACTCCAGAAAGCAGAGTTTGGGTTCCGTGTTTGGGAGCCTGTTTTACAATGTCAACTCGTGAGTCTCAACTTTCCCTTTTGTTAATAGCACTCTTTACCTCTCCCCCTTCTTCTTCGGCTGAAAACTGAACCAGAGTTTGTGTCCTGAATTTGACCATACATGGGTTTCCAGGTCTGGGACACTGCTGGGACCATGCGACCGCAGGTCCCGAAGTCCTGCTAGGACTCGCTCCTTCGGGTCCCTTCTTTCTCCCTGGAGCCCTTGTCTTTCTCCCCCGGGTTTGGATTTGTTGCCCTGGCACGCCCATTCCGGACACTCCCAGCCCTCCCATTCCCGCCAAACCTTGAGAGCCACCCTACACTGTAGAGCGTCCCACAGCCAGGGGTAGCTTCCTGCGGCTCCGGGGTTTCGGCACACAAGCTGTTCAGGGGACCTAGCTCCTGGCTTCTGGCCCCTGGGGGGTCTAGCTCTTCCTCGCATGCACGGATTTAGGTCCTAGGCCTGGAACCGCCTTCTCTGGGCGCCAGGAGCCCTTCTTCGGCTTACGACCCCCGCCTCCCCAGGGTGGAACAGCGTCCTCCCTCGCAGGGCTCCCAGGAGCCCGGCTGCCGCGCCCTTCCTCCGAGGGCTCCCCACCCCATTTCCGGGGTCTCCTCCCTCTCGCCTGCACTTTCCCGCGTTCCTTCCCCGCCCTCCCTGCGCCCGCCCGCACTCACCTGGTTGTTTTTGCAGAGATCAGCCCACATGCTGGTGCCGTCGCCGCCGCGCATCAGGACGTGGTAGGTGAAGAAGTAGATGCCCGGGATAGAGCAGGTGAACTTGCCCGTGGTGGGGTCATAGTGGTTGCCGAGGTTGGTGACCACGTCGTCGAACTTGAGCACCTCGTAGCCTTCGTGCTGCCGCTTGAGACCGGCGTAGAAGGCGATCTTGGGCACCGTGCTGTAGGTGGCAGCGCTGATGGCCCCAGCTGCGTTCAGGCCGGGCGCCCCGGGCGGGCCCGGCAGGCCCTGGCGGCCGGGCTCGCCCTTCTCACCCGGGGGACCCACGGGGCCCGGTGGCCCGGGCTCCCCGGGGGGCCCTCGCGGGCCTGCCTTCCCCGGCCTGCCGGCCTCGCCTTTGGGGCCCTGGATGAAGGTGGGCAGGGACTGCATGAGGCCGCGGTCTGGAGTGGCGGCGGTGCTGGGCGCCTTGGTGCCCCCGTAGGGGTCGCAGACCATGCGGCAGGTGCCCAGCATCTCATAGTGCGCCGACGTGCCGGCCGAGCTCACCAGCACCGGGATGAGGATGACCA